TAATGGCCTTAAAAAAAAAATTACATAGCCAGGTAAGTGGCAGCCCCAGAGGTCTTTGTGACTCCACAGCCTTTCCACTATCCCACTAATCAGTCTAAAACATATGACTATATTGAGTCTTTCTGATTAAGGTATTTAAGTGGTCTAAAGTCACTAGGACACTGGTGATTGTTAAAATACTTTAACATAATGTGTTTTAGTTGAGATAGAGAACTAACTGTATGGAAACTGAAGTGCCTGGGTTTACCTTAATCGTACCCATGTGACAGTGTCTGGTGGTGATCTCAGGTTTTTCATATACAGAAAAATCATAAACGCAACAGAATCGTTGGATATGTCTTTTCCCACAAGTTCCTAAGACAGAATTTAAAAGAGTGCTGTCCTTAGGGGCCGAATATCTATCTGGGTTGCACATCCCAGCTCTACCAATAATTAGCTGTGTGGCCTTGGGCAAGTTACATAACATTTCTATGATCTCATTTCAGCACTTTTAGAAAGGACTTCCTTTTATTACTTGAAATTAATCTACAGTCCCTTTGCAGTAGAGAAATTGCTACTTGTACTTAAGAAATTTCCAAGAACTATTTATTCAGCATGTATTTCAGCCAGCCATGTGTCAGGTACAGTGATAAAAAGATTACTTACTGGGCTGGCCGAGTGCCTCAGCTGGTTAGGAGCTCCCTTGGGAACGCCAGCTCTGAGCAGCAGGGCTGCAGGTTCGGATCCCACATATGAGAGCCAGTGACACTGCCCTCCACAGCTAAGATGCTGAACAACAGGTCGACCTGCAGCTGGGCTGCTGTGAGTCGCCGGTGACCGGGTAGGCCACAGCGGGGCTGCAGTGGGCTGCCGTGAGCTACATGAGTGGCTGGCGTCCAGCGGCCGGTGTGAACTGCCAGGAGCCGCTGTGAGCGGCCAACCAATGACGGGTGACGGATTGCCCCACCCGGGAAGAGCACAATGATCATACCAACATGAGCCAGTGAAGCGACGTCCTCCACAACTAGACTGAAGAACAAAAACAGCCATTTGTTTACCTGTCTGTTCCCCTCCCCCCAATTCCCTAATAAAATCTTAAAAAAAAAAAAAATGACGACTTACGCATGGTAATGGTGATTATAGTATTCAAAGGTAGATGATTAGATGCTTAATCAGGGCTCTTAAGGGAGCAGCATCTTAGTAAAATGCATGCAGGTCTGGTCTCCAGCTTTGCAGTTCAGTTCAGCAGTTAAGGTTTTACAGATACTGTCAAGCCTTATAACAACCCCATGAGGTATGTATTATTACCAGATGAGGAAAATGTATTAGCAGGTTGCTTTTTCTGCTCCTTAGCCTTTTTCTTAATCTGTGCTGCCTTGAACTTGATTTTTCTCTAAATTTATAGTTTAATAATTTTTCCCAGTATTGACTTGAATTTGCTTTACAGAGATCGAAAACTGTGCAATTTGGGATTAAAAGGCTACTATGTTAAAGGCAATGGCAACAATGCAGGTAATACTGTATAAAACGATATAACCCTTGTTTTGCTAAAGTTAACCATAATACTGTATTGATTATAATTTGTTATAATACTGTATTAATTTCTTAGCATAAACTATTATAAATGGCAAA